TTACTCCGTGTGATAATTTGCCTCTCTCTTTATATGTCCAATTAAATTCAATGTCGTCTCCCATTGGAATTCCTTTTGATGTTAACTTTACTTCCATGGGGTGATGGGGATAATGTTATATGAAGTATTAGATGTTAACATCCAATTCAAACACGTCCCAACTAATAGTATGGTATAGTATGTCTGAGGTTTTCTGTCCGTTGCAGTTTTTTAACCAAGAAAAGGTACTTATTTATGTTCTGTTTGACCTAACAAGTCACTTATTGTGCGCCAAAAGGAACATACGTCCTACTTTAGCACAAAATGATGAATATGTTTTTTATGATGAAGGGTGCATATGTAATATGGAAAAGTTCATAAAATCACTTAGGGTATGTTTGGGAGTTTAAAGAGAAGGGGAGGAGAAAGCTTCGAGGGTTAGTTCTCTGAAGGGAACGGGAGGAAATCATTTTTCTTGTTTGAGAGTTACGATGAAGAAAAATAATTTAAAGAGGATTATAATTAAAATCACTTTAAAGATATGATGAAATTTAATGGTTAAATTTATATTCATTTTAAATTGAGTTAAAGTTATCAATTAATTTGCATGTTATCTTTCAAAACATCCTAATTTGGGAAAACTTAAAAGTTGAACACCTGAAGGGTATTGAAGGATCACAATGTTTTAATTTAATAAGTTTTTTTATAATTGTTGAGTTTATTCGCCACAGCCCGGAAGTCCAACACCTCTTCCGGGAGGGTTTTGTGGCATGTTGATGATAACAAAATATAAACAATGATTTTAACGTGGAAACCCGAAAGGGAGAAAACCACGAGACTTTTTAGGCTAATGTCCCAGCCACTCTTCTTCTCATTAGGCTCTCCTCACCATTTACATAGTACAAGTATGAAGCTTCCATTAATGGAGGTTGCTAGCTAGCTACTCTGGAGAGGAGGGAGAGGAAGTGGGGAAGAAAAGACCAACCAAAAAGGAACCTAAATAATGAGGGGAATCCTCCTATTTATAGAGAAAGGGGGAGGGTGCAAAGCTACCCTAATGGACTGAGTGGGCCGAAATGGGTCCAAAATAGGCCTGATAGGCTGAAATGGCCCTCGTCGATTGGGCTCCGTACTGGGCAATGTGTTGGGCTCCTGAACAGTAACAGACCGGGATAATATATCCCAATACAAGTCCCTCAGTTTCTTGAGTAGTGAGCGTGCGAATCTGCTCGAGAAAGTATATTCTTGCTCGCGCTCTTCCTTTGTCTTCCTTGGACCTGAGTCTTCGAGCAATCCTACTGCATGGGTGGGTGTCTGCCCCTCTGAATATAATCTGCCGATAAGGTGCTCCCCCTCCCGACTGGATCGGGCAAGGGACGCTCTTCCCCGGATCCTCTCCCCCTGAATGTATCTGGCGGGAGTAAAGGACTACAACCTGGGTTTGCTACCCGAAGACCTTAAGAGGACCGAACCAAGTTATCTCGAAAAATATGGATAAGACGAACACAATGCAGGTGTGTATGTATGAATATATGAGATGTGATGCATGACACGATGGTGCTGATGGGCCGATCGTTCATGCATAAGACAGTGGTCGCCATCTTGGAAGGAATGTACGAGCCGACCGTGAACTGGACACAGTGGCGCTGAGGGGCCGATGGTGATGCATAAGACGGTGGTCGCCATCCTGGAATGAATGGACGAGCCGACTGTGAACTGGACACAATGACGCTGAGGGGTCGATCGTACTGCATAAGACGGTGGTCCCCATCCTGGAAGGAATGGGTGAGCCCGACCGTGAACTGGACACGATGGCGTTGATGGGCAATCGTGCTGCATAAGATGGTGGTCGCCATCCTAGAAGCAATGGACGAGCTGACCGTGAACTGGACACGATGGCGCTGAGGGGCCGATCGTACTGCATAAGACGGTCGTCCCCATCCTAGAAGGAATGAGTGAGCCCGACCGTGAACTAGACACGATGGCGTTGATGGGCCGATCATGCTGCATAAGACGGTGGTCCCAATATGCTCATCGTACCCGCCCTTTTGCGCGATCCTTTGGATCCTGAGCTGAGCTAGGTTGCGGTAGTCTGTGAGGAACGATTTTGATCCTCTTGGGATTCTTTTGTTTGATCCGTCTTGGGATTCTTTTGTTTGAAACGTCTTGGGATTCTTTTGTTTGAAAGCTAAAGATAGACACATACATACAGGAATGAGTATATATGGCTTTGAATTTGTTTTTTATCCTAAAGATAAACTCCTCAAGCACCGCTAATATTTGGACTCCAATCAAGCAATTGCAACATTAGGATTGTCATTTATATGAAAAGTGTATTATTAATCTATGATTTCACAGAATGACTTTTCATCATTCTATTGACTGTTCAATCAAGATGAACCTACATTATTGTAAGTTTCATCATTTGAAACGGTTTGTATAACTCAAGCAATATAAATGGGTTTAAGATATGTTTCAAACAAGAGTTTCAGTTTATATTAAAAAAGAGAATAAACTAAACATTTAAAATCTCCTGAACAAGAGAGCAAATCTAATGCAAGGAAAAGCAACAGGAAATTTCATGGAGGGAGGGCATGTCAGAATATCAATAAGCCTCGTAAGTTTGTTTAGAGAAGTAAATACCCTCTCACTCATCTAATTGATTCATCATCCATGCCACATTAAGAACTAGTCCCACACTTGGGCTGTGTTTGAAAAGGGGTTGGATGGAAAGAATTTGAAGTAGGAAGTCGCATTATGGATTTAAAAGAAATATTCATTTGAAAACCAAAAAAACCTATTTATTCTAAAAAAACAACAATTTTCAAAGAAATACAATGAGGCCTCAGATATATATAAGATCAAGAAATGGGATGAAGATCATAAATCATGGGTCGTGTAAGCATAAGATAAACAGGAGCCTAGCACATAGGTCGGATAAAGCAAAGTGTAATAAGGTTAGCAGGGACACAAGTAAGAATTAATTGGAGTGAGTAAAGGAAGGCCTATGTGCTAATAAGGTTAGCAGAGACACAAGCCTAGCTTTCACTCAAGATGTTCCAGATCTATGTTGATTTCTTCAGTCATTTCGTCTCCTTCTTCATCATTATGGTGCGGAACATCGTTTAATGCTATGCTTGCATAGTTTGATGGATCGATGGCTTTAAAGTTACCTGGTAACATGATTTCGCCAATGATTGATCATATTTGATTCCTTGAATCCCCATGGTGTCGGGAATTTGACGATTTGATGAAAAGTAGATGGGACTGCCCCCATTTGGTGAAGCCATGGGATCCCCAAAACCATGCACTTGGCAACCCTAATGGAGATGACTAAAGCATCGTGATGCATCTCCATATGGTTGTCCCTGTCTGATTCGTCAAAAGTGATCGGTTGACGTCTCCACACATCTTGTACTATTCCTACCCTGCAAATATGAAACGGCTTGTCCTAAAAAATTCCCTATCGTGTCTCTTGGCTACAGAATATGTTAGTCCACATAAATCTGAACCACCATTAATAAAATTAATTACCTTGTACGGGGCAGTGGGTGATGGAAGACGTTCCGTCTTGTTTTCAGTTTTGAGAATACCTTTAGTACATTTCAGCATGATCTCACTAACGTATCTGTTCCTTATCAAGTAATCGACTCTTTTCTGAGAGCAACATTCCTCCGTCGTTTGTCCTGTATCGTCATAAAATTCACATTTTTTTGTTGGGATCTCAACGGTATGCCGTTTGCAAATATGCCATATTTTCATGGCCATCTTACTTTCTCTTCCAGCTTTTCCAGTGAACTGATGAGGCCTCTGGTGGCTAATTTGGGTATTCATCCAACTTCACATCGACGTGATGGGTCTAGTTTCGGGCTTTGTGTACGACTTTCATAATTTGTGCTCCTGCCTCTTTAACGAATTCGACTTCCTTTGTCCACCTTCGTAGTCATCATGATAGTGACACGATTGCAAATCTTCCTCTAGACGGATAAAAGCTAACGCCTTAGCTTGAAGGTCTTCAAAAGTCCGACAATGGTATTTTGGTCAATTCTCTGTATAGTTCTGATTCTTCAAAAAGTCCTCTTTTGAACGTCTCTATAGCCATGGTAATATCGCATCGTGGGATGGACACCTTTTCTTTATTAAAGCGATGCAAATATTCCCGAAGAGGCTTACCGCGTCGTTGAACGATCCTATAAAGGTCACTGGTCTGTTTTTATAAAAGTATCAGAAAGTGTCACTATAAAAGTGTCACTATAAGGCAGTTTTCTACTAGTGTTGGCTGCTCGCAAATTTTTTATTGAATAAATTGACAAGTTTCACAAGTGTGGGATGAAGGGTTCTAAAAAGGACAATGAATAGTTGGTTGTGGTAAGGCTCTGGATAACAGTTTGCATATTTGAAGGTTGACCTCTGGTGGTTAAGGAAGATTGGAAATAACATGTTAGAATGGTCAGAATTGGGGTGGAAATTGGAAATAAAGGGGTATACGGTATAACTTGTGAAATTATCGGTGAATCCGGTCAGTTAAACGATGAGAGACCCAAGCTCGATGATATGGGGTTGGTGACGTTTTGTGATTGGTCTTCTGTCATTGTATCATTTCTCTTCGAGAATCTTGAAGGTGTGGCCATGGACGCCACGTATTGAACTTTTGATCGCAAAAAGTCATTTTTATTTTGGAGGCATGAAACTTTTTAAGCCATCTCCTTTCTAATTTCTTCCTTTAACGCCTCTAGTTGTTGTTGAAACTCTATTGCCATGTTAGAGGTTTGATCCGTCATAGGTGATGATCTTTTTGTGCGATATTCCCACAGACGTCGCCAAATTGTTAATGCTAAACTACGTAAACTATGATTTGTATATTCGAAAATAACAAATCAATGGGTAATCATGCAAAATATCACATAAATCTTAAGAAAAAAGAGTGAATCGATGAATGTAGTAATGATTTAGAGTGTAATTTGATCGTAGGAAGTGTGCTTTTCATCCAAGAATCCTCCTATTTAAAGTAGATACAATGTGTCCCTTTGCACAACCGTTTTGTCAACTCTGGTCCTTTAGGCCAAAGATCAAGATATGTTACATCTGTTTGATTCCTTTGCTCCTTCTGACTGAACTATACACTTCATGTCCTACAATAATGTCTATTTTGACAATAATAGCTACATTTTATAATAAATTGTACATATTACGTATATTAAATTATAAATCATATTTGATATTACACTCGCTCGCCACTCGTATCTCCTCTTCTCCAGCTCGAGTGACTCGTATCTTCACTTGTCAATCGGATCTCTTCAGTTGAGACTCGCCAACCACAAGATCAGAACTCGACGATGGAGCTCTCAACGGAGGCTATGGATTGATTTTGCGACCGACGGCGACGATAGGGATATCAACACTGGATTGGGCTCCTTTTTCCACTTTTTCTTAAGCAAATTTGGTGAGTTGGGTCGCATGTTTGCCATAGGTTGCCAGGAACATAAGATATATACGATGTTTTACTAATATGAGCATACACAAATGAAAAGATGAGCATAGTAGAGAATTTAAATGATTTTTGAATTTTTCAGTGCTCATTTTGTGATTTACGTATGCTCATTTGTAATTGGTGTAATACTCATTTTAATATGTCATATTCATACATATTTGAAAAGTATAATACTAGTATTACATTAAATTCACATATTGGATTCATATGGGTTTATTGTAGATATCTTAAAAAATAAGAAAAAGAAAGTGACTTATAAGACATGAAGTCGATATCACGATGCTCATTATTAGCCTTTGAATACTCAGTAGAAGTATATTAATGCCAATTCAACGAAAGCAACAATTGTAACTAAAATTACGAAAATGTCACCAGTTGTACGATACTCACTGTATAACTAGTTGTACAATATACAAACTCGCTAATGTTATCATCGATACACAATTGTCACTAAAAGTTTAACATTAGACCTAATTAATTGAATTTAAACTTGACTCAATTAAGAATTTTAAGTAGTAAAAATCCTCGCACTGTGATTGTTGGTGAAACAATAAAAGTTATTGTTTTAGCTTTTACGCATTTTTATTCCTTTAAATTACAAAAATACAAATTCATATGATTGTCTCTGTGCAGTTAAAATCCTACTTAAAATTATGCATATTATTTTTAAACTTGACTCAATTTAGGATTTTTACTTGTGTTCTAAAATTTTCAAAATGTCACTAAAAGTTTAACATTAGACCTAATTAATTGAATTTAAAAGAAATATACTCGCACTGTATATATAAAAATTGATTGAATTGTGCAATAATAAAAATAAATAAGGCTACAATTTCTTTTCTGGATAAATTGACTGAAGTTACGGTAGAGAACTATTTTAACTATTTTTCATATAATATTTTCTTTATTTTATTTATAAAATGTATTTGAAATATGATTTTTAATAATTCAATAGATTCAATCACTTCAGCTGGTTCAACCAATTATAATGTGACTAAACACTCTTAATCATGTAATCAAAACAAGTCTCATCAAATAGGCCCTTAATGGTTCGTATAATATTTATACTAATGATCTAAATAATTTTTAACACTGGTGGTATTGGGAGTGAATACACAGTCACACATCATAACAATTGATCAAGTGGTCTTCATCAAACCTAACTGATTGCCCATAAGTCTTTGTCATTAGTTTGTAGCATGATTTTTTTTCTAGACAGATAAGAGTAATAATCAAGCCAGGAAGGTACCCAGAAAAAGAGTCTCATATCAACTCCACATAAAAAGAAAATAGTAGAGAGTAAGAAAATATATCACTTGGTAAATCTACCACCCCAACATATGTGAAAGCCATGGTTTTCACTCCCACCTGAATGTGAGTGTTTGATGAGAACCACTGGAGGAGGATCCATCAGGCGTATTCTCAAACATTTCAGGTAAGTGGAGACCATGTTTGGTTTCAGTTTCTTGAGGAAAAGAGAATTGGCTATAACCATCGAAGTGCAGGCCGTGAGCAAGCGGTTGGCTAGAACCTGGCTGCTGCGCTTCGTGGCTAAAACCAATCTCTCTCGTGACACCTGGCACTGATGACAGAAGAGAGAGAGCACCATCACAACTGCCATTGGTTTGGTCGAACCCGCCCGGGAATACCCTTTGGGAAACTGTAGCTTCGGGGAGAGCGTGGTCCCCACCTTGCAAGAAAGGAAACCGGTTCGGTTCTTTGTAGTCATGCGATGAAGGGTCCCGCAACATGTTTCGGCTGTCAATATGATTGATGTGTGATGGGTTGCTGTATAGCATCTCCTCGTGCACATCCACATTTGGATATCTTTGAGAACCACCAAAATGGAGAAGTTGCTTTGAACCTGCTACTGTTGCCAAAGGGTTGTAACTTGTAAGCAGATTGTATTGTATAGATGATTGTCAATGTAGACATTTTTGTTACATTGGTAGGTTTTAAAAAGTATGTCTTTAACTAAATTAGTCCCGTTGTCCCAAGTTAATCGAAGTTTTAGAAAAGTGCATGTATGTTAACGAATATTAGAAAATGACATTTTTATCCATATAAAGTTCAACATTAGAAGTTTATCATATACTTTCAAGGCATAATAGCATTAAAATGGTAAGAGTCAATCAGGACAAAAATAATTGCCATTACATTTCTAAAACGTAAATGACTTTAGGGAAAATTATCCGCTAAAACAAAAGTAATTTGGGACAAATGGAGTAATACTTTTGTAAAAGATGAAAATTGTGGTTTGAAAACATCTTCTTTAACCGATGTAAAATTTATCTGTAGCTTAATTACTCCAAAGTTAGGACACTTTTTTTACCAAATGGTACTTTTAGAGCAAAAAGTGTTATGACTTAAAAGGTATGCCTACAAAACTAAGCATAAGTAAGTCAAACCATCATTACATAAATTAACCAGAGGAAAAGAGACAGAAAGCATTAAGTCACTTAACACTTAAGTGCCCACAAAACTAAGCATAAGTAAGTCAAACCATCATTACATAAATTAACCAGAGGAAAAAGACAGAAAGTGCCAAGTCACTTAAGTGCTAACCTTGTGAACTAGAGGAGTAAAGCATTGTTGAAGTACTGTTGTTGAAAGTGTCTGGTTGAGGCTTCCTTCTTCTTTTGTTATGACCATCAAGCCGTTTTCTACAGCTTCGCTTTCCCTCATCAAATTCAGACAACGGATGAAACCTAATACAAAAGTAGCATCAAATTATACTAATTTTCAGTGTGAGATTCATCCTTGGACATCTACTCACACTTCAGACTTGGAGTCAATCTTGAAACACAGATTTCTATATCATCAATTCCACATTTTTCCCAGAAAGCAAATAGTTATCTTTGTTATGCACAAAAGCAGAAAAGCTTCAATTCTGGAGGGGAGTAGACTCGAATCCCACAATGAACCAATAAAGACAAATGGTGAGGTTAGTCTGGTGCTTTATGGCCTACTTGAGTAACTCTAAACCATTTGAAATTTCACTTAGACACATTTCAAGAAAAGTACCAAACACATCTGATGAACACAGAATCAAAAGAAGAAAGCAACAAAACCAAAGCATATAAGGAATAAGGATTACCTGCTACACTGTTGGCAGAACCGAAGCTCTTGACCACCAACGGTGACCTTAGCCGTCTTAGAATGGATCTCACACACCTTATGTCTACGATGATAATCACGGCACTTACTCAGGTCTTCATTACACCCATCCACCAAACAATTAGCAACCTGTGAGCCATTACCCGCTGCCTTCCCTCTCTTTAATGATCCACCCGAAGAAGAGGAAGATTCCATCTCCAATAAAAGAAAAGAAACAACAATTTTCCAGAATTTCTTCTCCCAAGCCACCAAGTCTCAGAATCCTGAATCTAATCTGGAACAAAATCTTAAAAAGCCAAAATTATCTCAAGAATGAAAAAATCATAACAAAAAAAAGACGAATCTCTTCATTCTATGTGTGTTTTTACTTATGCACAAGAGAGCCCTGTTCTGAAGTACCCTAATTGCAAATCTTAGAAAGGGTTTAAGCCACTAAAGTGCTTGAATACAATGAGCCATTATTTGATAAAAAGGTTATCACTTTTTTCTATTTCACTGATTGGATACAACCCAAAAAACTGAAACAAACATCTAGGCAGGTGAAACCTATGTGCATAACTTGATGGAAATTTAATGAAGTTGTATTTATGCTCATAAAAGCTAAAATTGGATAGAGCTCTTAATAGACTGACCAAACCATACTAAAATATTAAATCAAATTGATGTGGCATATTTTACTTAGGCCCTTATACATTCATCTATATATACTCCATCTTTCAAAATATGAGACTATCTTAACATATGCAAACCAATCTGATGTCTCCATATATAGGAAAAGGGGAAATTGTCTAACCATACTTTATTTTATTATTGAATATTGGGAAAGTTATTATTGAATATTGGGAAAGCATAGCTTATTACAGTGGAGAAAAAAAATCGGAAAGTGAGGAGCAGAGAAGATAAGAAAGAGAAAGGTCTTGACTTTATTCGTTTCAATAATAATTTGATTGCTACATGAGTTGAAAGATCAGTAGTGCACATGAAAAAGCTGGGAGAAAAGGTTGGTCTTACATGAATGTTGATAAAACAACGATATGGCACAGTGACAGGAAAAAAATGAGAACATCTTGAACAGGAGCACTACAGACTAGAGATACCTTAGAAATCAAGAATGGTAGAAATCTTGGATATGTTTCCCTTTTTTCTTTCTATTTTTCGCCCCTAAAGGCAGACGACTTGGTGATTACTGAGGGAGAATACTTGCAGATAAGTGCAACTGTGCAAGGGAAGAAGACTTGGTTGACTACCCAATTGGTCATCTCAACCATTCATTCTCTGATTATTAAAGTGGCAACTGGAAAAAGCTATTTTGGGTGTGGAGGTCAAGCGTTAATGGAGTGCTGGTATTATTAATACTACCTCCCTCCTGATAATTGAGAAGTGGGAGAGTGATAACCAAAAGATAGATGAATTATCAATTCGGGACCTGAAAGATTCACAGGTTTTGGTTTATTTAATTTTTTATTAATTCCATTGCTAATTTTTGATAAACTTTTCTTCACAAAAGTTTATTAGTTTCATAAAACTAAATAATATTTAAAAATTTTAAGATAAAAAGATTAATTTAATTTCGGACAATTTAGGTCCTAAATTGATAATTTTCAATCATCCAAATCCTACATTGATAGTTTTTCATCATTCGGATCCTATATCGATATAACTCATCTTTCAGGTTCCAGATTGATAGTTCATCTATCTTTCGGGTCCTGAATTGATAAAATTTGTAAGAAAATCCAATTTATATGGTTAAGATTGAATTAATATAGTAAGAATAAATAAAAAAAATTTAGATCCACATAAACTTTACAAAATTTTATATGAGACAATCTTAAGCAAGTGTATTGTATTAGGAAGTAGTGCCAAAATTTTAAGAGTTCATAGATTTTATGAGTTTAGGTGTATTCAATGTGAACTTTTAAAAGTCTACAAAAGTCTAGGTATATTCAATGTAGACTTTTAAAAGTGTATAAAAGTTTAGGCGTGTTCAAATTTTCGTTCATTCTTATTGATTTCTAAAATCACGGATTCTTGTGGACTTTTAACTCATTTTGAGTACATTATTTCTCGGCAATTGTCTTCTCCTCACCAAAGTTTTCTGTGGACTTTTCTACTCCATCCGTTCCAAATTGTTTTGCAGTCAACATTTTTTGGTCAACCAATAATAAAAGTCAATCCTCCTTATCGATAAGTGATCCAATTTTTTATAATTAAAATTTACATTTTCAGAAACTACATTAAAATCTCTTCAGATCTGCATGCTCTAAATAAGAATAACTCCAAATAATAATATATTTAAAATTTGACATTCTAATTAAACAAATAAAATGAAATTGTTTGACCAAGAAAAATAAAATTGGCTAATCAATTTAGGGCGGAGGTAGTAGTTGTCTTCTACTTGTCATAAGTACGCATAAATCTGATTGCAAATTTCACAAATTATTTACCCGAGATTATAAACCGGCCAACAAGTCCAAGACTAGTATCGGCCAGGAGGTGGGTATCAAGATGGTCTCAGTATGCAAGATCTAAACATTGAATTTTGATTTTCTATCAGTTTATGATAAATAAGTTGAACAAAGATATTCTTCATTAATACTGATACACAACATAAACTTATCTATTTAATTTTTTAAAAAACTAAAAAGTGTTATTTTATATGTCGTCTTACGAAGAAAAATGTAGGGGTGAGATAGGTTCAATTCTTGAAAGTAAAATTACGAAGCATTTGAAGATCCATTAATTCCATGTTGATTCGATTCTAGAAGTTTTTAAAAGAACCGATATAAGAATCGATAGTATTATATCGGTGCAATTCTGGTACGTTGTCAGTTAATCATTAAGAAAGAAAATTACCTATTAACGTGTTTCATCGTTAAACCGCTAACACATATAAATATAATTTGAAATTACTAAATATTTAACCGTAAATAAATATACAAAATTTAACAAGCTAAAGATGAAAAGAAAACAGTTATTAAGAAAAAAACTCGATTGCACCTATACTTGTACCAATGTAGCAATGAGTGTAATGTGACAGATAGTATATCCGGGGGATACCGATGGGGGTATCTAGAGAGAAGTCAGAGCAAGTAAGAGAGGGAGTGAGTATGTATTATATGAAGTTGTTATTGTGTTATTCTGTCGATTACAATGGAAGAATGGCTGCTATTTATAGCAGCCATAAATGCTAGGTGCAATAAATGAGGGTACACGTGTAAAAATAACCGGCGGTGGAGAGTCACTCAGCCAGGCTGGCGTCGGCATAGCATGTGGCCGCATTCAATGCGGTGGTTGGGATGTCGTTGCATTCAATGTGGTGATTCAGCGCATGCAGAGAAGAGATCTTGTCGGGGTAGTGTCAGAGGCCGTACGTACCCCGGAAGCCTTTAATGTGCTGAGGGACGTACGTCCTCTGGGGCCTTCATGTGCTGAGGGATGTACGCCTCCTGGGGCCTTCATGTGCTGAGGGACGTACGTCCCCTGGGGCCTTCATGTGCTGAGGGACGTACTGTCACACCGTCCCTGATTGTATTTACTTTTATGTAAATCATGTATTCAACCTTATGAACTGGTTGATGAGTTTACGAGGTTGTAAATTTTTGTTATTACTTTTGCGTGAATAGTGAATTGCACGTGGGGCCCACATCAGGAGCGGGGACCACCTGATAATTCCGAGACCACATATTATATATGTGTTGGTCTAGATAATATGTATATGGTAGTGGATATTCTAGTTGGGCCATGGACAGGGCTTAGGGTTGACCGGTTGGTCAAACGAGGTTCAATTACCGGTATTGGTAATTAACGGCTAACAGTCTGAAACGAATTTCGGAGACTTCTAAATTAAAGTTGAGGAATGTATATTCATTCTAAGGGCCCATATGGGTTGAGAATGTGTGATATATTTTATTTGGCCCGATAAAGTAAACCATAATTAAAATAGTCTGAAAAATACAGCTTTCGAGGCTGATTGTACAGTTCGGGACATAAAGGGATGACCTCAAACATGAGTGGGGGTCACCCCACGTTTTTGTGTGCTCAAAGTTGACTTGAGGGGATGCATGGTGTGGAGGAGTGGTGTAAATTGAGTGAGAGTGATTGGTTGGTATAAGGATGGCCATGGGTGGACCTCCCCTCTCAATTATCTTGCAATTGAGACAAAAGATACACATCACCTCTCACCCCTACCATCTAGCTCTACCAAGCATCCAAAAAAAGAGAGAGAAGCTCAAAATATCATCCTCCATTGCTGCACAATTCGAGCTCAGGCAATAGGAGTCCAAGGAGGAAGATTAAAGAAAGAAAAAGTTAGAAAAATTGTGAAGGATTAAGGTAATGACCTTATAATAACTTTTCCTCTACTTCTTAGCTATCATATGACATATATCATATGGAGGACCCCTAGTATTGTTCTAAATGTTTAGAAGTGTAGAATGAGGGGTTAGAAGGTAGTTCTAAGTCCAAGAACGGACTTAGAAGCCAAAGTGACCGGTCCGCCGGAAAATATCCTTTTAGAGGTTATTTGTATTGATATGGGTCTTGTGATGATGAAACCTTGTTAGGAACTTGTCTAAGGTGTTCCTAGCACTTTCACGGAGTTGAAAGAGTTGCCAGAGTTGTCGCCAGAGTTCTTCAAAGTTCGCTGGAGTTTCACCGGAGTTCAACCCGGAAGGGTAGAACTTCTTAAAAGCTCATTCAAGGTGAGTGGATGGCTTAATTTCTTGTAAATCTTGGGTTAAGTATGAGATTACCTATGTAAATTCTACATGTGTTCATAATGATGTTTAAAATGGTTTAAGCATGTGATTAGCCAAGATGATTAGGCTTATATGAGATGAACCATAATGATTATGCATGAAAAATGATATGAAAATGATATAAAACACGTGTGACGTTTTAGATGGCCATAATGGTAAATACCGATTGTTTAAGACTTAATTCATGTTTGGGTTAAGTTTCGGATCAATCGGAGTCGGTTCGGGCGGTCAATGGGCCGTTGACCGTAAAGAAGAAAGTGAACTGGCGCCGGTTTAGGCAATAACCGGCGCTGATTTGAGTACGGGGCAGTCAAATTAATTAAATTAAATATGAACCGGTGCTGATTTAGGCTATAACCGCGCCGGTTTGGTGTTGTTTTGTCCTGAATGTTGATTTTTGGTGCATGGTTTTGCATGGATTGTTATGCTTAGACTACAAGACTTGGTTTAGTCTTGATAAATGATTATGATATAGACCATATCTATGTTTGATAAGCGGTAGATCATAGAAATGAACGTAAGATGGTGGAGAACCTAGGGACGACGGTACTGTCCTCAAAACTCGGTAGATAAACGGTGGAGACCCAAGGACGATGGTACCGTCATCAAAACTCGGTATATAAATGGTGGAGACCCAGGGACGACGGTACTGTCCTCGAACCTCAAATGTGTAAACAATGGAGACCCTGGGATGACGGTACTGTCCTCATACCTCAATTGTATAAGCGGTGGAGACCCAAGTACGACGGTACTGTCCTCAAACCTCGGTATATAAATAGTGGAGACCCAGGGACGACAATACTGTCCTCAAAACTCATATCTATAAATTGTAGAGAATCCAAGGACGACGGTACTGTAACACCGTCCCCGAGTATATTTACTTTTTAGTAAATCATGTAATAAACCTTGAATAATGATTGATGAACTTACGAGGTTGTAAATTTTTGTTATTTCTTTTTGCATGAATAGTGAATTGCACGTGGGGACCACATCGGGAGCGGGGACCACCCGGTAACCCCAGGACCACATATTATATTCATCTTGGTCTAGATAATATTTATATGGTGGTGAATATTTTAATTGGGCCATAGATAGGGCATAGGGTTGACCTGTCGGTCAAACGAAACCCAATTATCGGTATTGGTAACTTATCGGATAACAGTCCGAAATGAATTTCGGAGACTTCTAAATTAAAGTTGGGGATTTCACATCCATTTTAAAGGCCCACAATGAGTAGGAACATGTGATTAGCCAAGATGATTAGGCTTATATGAGATGAACCATAATGATTATGCATGAAAAATGATATCAAAATGATATAAAAACATGTGTGATGTTTTGGATGGCCAAAATGGCAAATATTGATTGTTTAAGTTTTAATTCATGTTTGGGTTAAGTTTCGGATCAATCAGAGTCGGTTCGGGCGGTCAACGAGACGTTGACCGCAAAGAAGAAAGTGAACTGGCGCCGGTTTAGACTATAATTGGTGCTAGTTTGAGTACGGGGCAGCCAAATTAATTAAATTAAATATGAACCAGCGCCGGTTTAGGCTATCACTGCGCCGGTTTGGTGTTGTTTTGTCCCGA